TCTCACTGATGCAATCAGCTGGACACGATTATCGCCGGCCTGCTGCCATGTTGCCACCGACAATCTGACAGACGTTTGGCAGTGACATCTCTCGAGAAAGCCTGCAACTCTTTCTACACGCCATGTTGTCTTTTTCTCGTTTTCTAGCATTGGATTTTCAGACTTACAATGATTAGAACTAATCTTTTTTTCTAGGCTATTAATCTTAGTTCTAATTGCACGATATTGTTCGTATATGTGATCCCTAAACTATCCTGGTCTCATTTTGTATATATTTATTGTAGAATTTTTGTATCAAGCAAATATTGTCGTCAAGCATGCCAAAAATTAGTAAAATTTGTATTTTTTGGGGGTTTTTGATATAAAGTCGACCACCATAGTGTAGATTTTGCTGCGTACTTTAATTCCATATAAGAATTTTGCATTTCTATAAAGCCAATTAAGAGATTAGTTCTAATCATTAATGTCGATAAAACAGACGGATTTAGCATCCTCTTAATACTTTTTTTAACAGAATATTGATACAAATCAACTGGTGTAAAGAAAACAAACAATTTTGTAACAAGCAATTTAAAAAAAAATTTTTTTTTGCTTCTTTAGTCTTCATGGCTTCCGGATGGTTGCCGCGTCCGTTTGCAGTGTGGTGCCGACGTTTCGCAGGCGTTGCAGTCTGCTTCATCAGGGCTGGGAGACTCTGATACTGAGCTCCCTCGCGTTGCGCTCGTCCTTTTATACTCGTTCTTGGGGGAAGGGAAGGGGTAGTCAGGGGGAGGGCGTGGTCAGAGGGAGGGGGGTCAGCCAATCCCGGTTTTTTAAAAAACCGGGAGGGCGGTGTGCCATATCGGACTCACCTGATAGCCTTTGTCGCGATTCAGATTGTCAGGGTGTTTCAAGATTTCTATGCCTTCGCGGTGTTTTCGTGCGAAATAGCTTTGGGACTGAGCCAGCATGGTGGCTTTGTCGAACTGGATGGCGTGTCCGGTCTCAATCTTGTGTTCGGCTAGAGCTGATTGTGAGAAGTGGCCGTATTTGGCACATCGCTGGTGTTCTTCGATTCGTGTACTAATCTTCCTCCCGGTTTCTCCTATGTACACTTTGCCGCAGGAGCATGGGACCTTGTAAACCCCTGGGGCTGTCAAAGGGGGTCTCCGGTCCTTGGGATTGGGGAGCATTTGTGAGAGCTTGTTGAAAGGTTTGAAAATCGCTTTGATGTCGTGTTTGCTCAGGATTCTGCTGATGCGGTCCGTGGTCCCTCTGACGTATGGGAGTCCTACTGCCTTAATCTTCTCTTTCTCTGTCTCTGGTGTCGTGGTTTTGTTCTGGCCGGGTTCCTTGTTGGTCAGCTTCTTGATTGTACGGTTGATGTTTCTGCTGCTGTATCCATTCCTGGTCAGGGTTCGGTGAAGGTGGTTTAGCTCTCCGTTCAGGGCGGCTGGTTCCGAGATGGAGAGTGCTCTGTGGACTAGAGAGCTGATTACCGAATTCTTTTGGGCGGGGTGATGGTGGGAGTTTGCGTGGAGGTATCGGTCCGTGTGCGTTGGTTTGCGGTAGACGTTATGGCTTAGGGTGTCATCTTCGTTCCTTCGGACCAGGACATCCAGGAAGGGGATTTGGGAATTCTGTTCGGTCTCCATTGTGAATTGGATGTTGGGATGTTGGGAGTTGATGAAAGTGAGGAATTGAAGTAGAGTTTCTGTTGCGTGAGCAATAGTAGAGAGCCCGCAGCCGAGAGGGCGACACACACACTTACACACATACACACACACACATGCGTACAGACAGTCAGTAGAGTACATGGCCGGCAAGCAAGAAGTCGAGCCACACGAATCACGCAGCGTCGACCCGTTACTTATCCAATACGTACTGGTGTTAAACATCCATACGCATATCCTTATCCTCTCGCGGGTGTCCCCGCAACATGGTGTCAGAAGTGGGATGCTGAGCATCATCACAAGAAGAGAGGAATAAAGAAGTCGCAAGAAAACTTCTCACGCCGTCCAAAGGTAACCTCAAAGCACGGGCAAGAGGCCACGGATT